GCTCCCCACTGCCCTCATGACAAAGACCACAACACAGAGCCTTCCCCAGGCAGTAGCCGTCCTCTCCTGCCTCCCCACCCCACCTCCTGCTGTACCCAGGCTTCTCCGACGGGAATGTGTGTGTGAATGCCTGGACATCTAGTTTAAGTGCATGTTCCCAATCAGTAAGTTGAGGTGGGGCCTGAGACTCTGCATTTCCAACAAGCTCACCAGTGATGCCAATGCTCCTGGTCCACGGACCACACTTTGAGTAGCACGGGTCTGTACTCACTCCACTCAACTTCTCTCCATTCTGCCCTCAAACGCACCGGGCTCCCTCCCTACCAGCTTGGGGGTGGGGGGCTCTGCTCCCAGCTCCCAGAGGCTCCAGGAAGACACAGCTAAGTTTATGGAAACCACTTATTGCCATGAGCAGGCCCGTTTCACGCTCCCTCAAACATACAGGGCACCCCCTGTGTACTGGGCACCGCATAAGCATGCAAATATTAGTTTGGAGTATACATTTCAAAAACATATGCACATTTGATAAGTAAAAATAGTATGTGCATGTTGTGTTGATGTGCACTTATTTGATTATTATTAAACATGTTTTCATCCATTTGTTGACTGTTTCTCTCTGTCCTTCAATTAAACCCCTACTGGTTTCCTTTGCCCATGTTTCTCTGGTATCTTTGTCTGACAGCCAGTTCTAAGAGCATCTCAAAGATAAAATTTCTAACATATCTTTCCCAGCATTTTGCTTGTTTTAAGTTTAATCTTTTTTCTTATATAAAATTTCATTGTGTATGTAAAATCTGTGAGTCTTTTCTTTGTTGAGTTCTTCCAGTGTTCTTGGGCTTAGAAAGTCCTTCCATACCCAGAAATCAGACAAACATTTATTGAAATGTTTCCTCACTTCTTCCTAGTTTGGCTTCTTTCACCTAACACCTCTCCATCTGGGAATTATGTGTGTAACAAAGTGAAGATTTGGATTTTTTCCCCTCCCAAAAGGCAATATTCCCAGGCAGCCTGGAGTGTGCAAAAGCCATAGGATTAACTTCTAGTAACTCAGAAATCAAGGTACATTGACGGCATCACTCCTTGGCTCCGTGCCTTGGTTTCCCCTCTGAGAAACAAGCTGGTTGGATTAGACAGTCTCTGGCATTCCAGGATTGGGTGTTCTAAGGTCTCGGTCTGAATGGAATTTTTGGTTTCATTTTGTCATTTTTTTGTTTTTTGAATGGAATTTTTTAAACATGAAGCACCATCCTTTGAGTATCCTGGAAGGTGTCACTGCCTCCCTGTGACTCACCTTCTGCCACATGGCCCGGGAGCAGCTGTTCCGCAGGGTCGTGTGCTGCCATGCCAGGTACTCATCCACACGGGCTCGGGCCTGCAGGTCCTGGGGGTACCAGTGGTCAGGGGCTTTGTACTTGCGGCTCAGATACAGCAAGATGGCCACGCTGGGGGGACATGGCAGAGGCGAAGACATGCCCCAGTCACTCTTGAGCTATTTCGTGGGGCATTTTCACTGTCCCCATGGTGCAGAGGAGGAATGTGAGGCCCAGAGAGGTTAGGTAATGGCCCAAAGTCACACAACTCTACACTGGGCCAGCCCCTCATCGGAACTAAGGGCAGCAAGTAAGAAACAAAATGCCATGGATTTCGGAAGGGGCCAGGGGCTCAGGGAAGGCTTCCAGGAGGAAGGGGAACTTAGTGTGAGTCTTAAAGGATGAGAGCAATTTACATACCACTCCCCAAAAGATCCAAAGCACTGACAGGGCCACAAGCATGGCCAGCTACCTCCTCAGACTCTCCTGGGGCTGGGAGAAGGCCTCCCAGGTGACATAGGTGCATTCCTTCCTACCCTGTCCCACCTCCTCTCCACTGCTCCAGCCCCCTCCCCTAGGAAGTCCTCCCTGACCTCTCCCCCATCATGTCTGGCCCATGCAGCCTGACCCCCAGAGCTCATCGCACCTCCGCTGGTGTTGGCCTGTCCAGCGACCACAGGCTCTGGAGCCAAATGGCTCTGAACGTGAATCCAGCTCTAACATGGAGGCCCTGGTAAAGGATACCACCATTCAGCCACCAACCTGGAGGCCAGTCTTGGCTCCCATCTGTCCAACCCTTCAGCAAAGCCTGCAGCTCAAGCCCAGGCCTCGATGGGCTGGCTCTGGTGGATGCTCAGCAAATAGCCACTGAAGCTTGCTGGCTGTTCCCTTGACCCCTCCCTATGGGAAACAGCGCTTGCTCCACAGGATTTGTGGGAGAAGTGGTAGCTCTAAGGTGCCTGGGACAGCGGCTGCTCGATACTTAGCACTCTCCTTATCTCTAAGGGCTGGGCTGGCAGTGAGGAAGCC